AAATTGTGTCGATCCAACTTATCATGAATAACAAGTACACGCGACAAGTGCGCTCGTGTGCGGCGGGCTTTAGACAACTCAGCCTCGTTGTCTCTGAACGAATAGTCAACTCGGCTTCGCCTCGTTGACTATTCGCTCATAGACAACTCGGCTTCGTTGCCTAATTGTTAAATCAACACGAAAAACAGGCCGAGATTTTATCATGTGAGCCACGGTGAGCCACGGTGGCCATGTTTTTGTTGCGCAATATTATGGAAATGGCTTACTGTCGTCAGCTGTCGTTCCAATTGAAGTGTTCCTCAAATATTGATTCAATACATTATCTCGGGCTGACCAATTCATTTGATCAAGTTCCTCGAAATATTCATACACTTCCTAGTATAATTGTAAACTTCCTGTTGAATAGTTTGAATGCGCCAATCCAACCTCGTTCCCAGGGCTTTTCCCTTTTTGTCATTGGGAAGGCGGGAAAAGGCCCTGGCACCGGCCGGTCTTCTATGTATTCTGATTGGTCAATGACAAGTACATTATTATGCAAATAATGCAATCTTGGATTAATTTATTCAAACTTTGGGATAAATTAATATTTCATGCAAGGAGTGTCCATTATTAATACTTTGTCCGTCTAAGAAATATTTTTGGCAAAATCTGTGGCAAAATGGTTAAATTCGATAAGATTTATACACAATTTGTCGAAGGTTAGTATTATTGTTGTTTTAAACCGTGAGAGAAGATTAATTGTGTACTAGAACACACCTCTGAGGCTCTGACGGGGTATTTAGGGCAAAATGTGCCTTCATATTTGTATTGGCTTCGTATAGCGTTTATAATGTTAAAAATGTTTATATTTATAAAACTAAAGTCTGGGTTTATAAACTGAAACATGACCTTTAGTTTTTGATATTCTTCATAGTCGAGTTTAAATTGGCCTAATTTATAGTTAGTTACCACTAGAAATGCGACGATATTTTGTTATATCATATATGCAACAGTGTTTACAACTTTTGAATAATATGTGATTTGGTTTTGTTTCAGATACTATTACATGTTGCTTCATTTTACCATAAATTGTGTTAAAAAAGTGATTTGCTCATTTGGCTGATGTTACAGTGTTCTGGTGTGTTTTGTTTGGATATTAGAACAATTTCAATATGAAAGTGCAGGTGTCTTTAGACATGAGCCATAATGTATATATCAAAATACTGATAAAATCTGTTTCCAGCTTGATTGTATTTGCATTTGTTGTACTTGCGTTGTTGCAGACAAAGTTGTGCAATGGTGGGCTTATGTCACATACTCGTATGTAATTCCATGTGCCTGCATGTACAGTACTTTGATGCCTCAAGAGTTGCTTGGAATGTGTAATAAAGGGCTGTTCGCAGAAGTTGGGCTGTCTGGCCTTAAATTGCATTGTTTTTATGATATTTTAAGATTGTGTTTATTTGGCTGGACCATCTTGCCATTGCCACAATGTCTGATGTTCAAACAGGCTTTAAAATCAGGTTACAATGCATGCTTGAAAATATGCAACAATTTCACTGCTAATAATATTCCAGAAAATCCTACCTCTTGGGCAGATCTGGACTGATTTGTCAGAGGGGGTTGGAGGTTTTCTACTTGTGATCGGGCAAGGGGCCGGGAGCTAGCCAAGGGTGCTGGGTCAGAGTCAAACTCATGTGAACAGCTTCTAAGTCCTAATTATATTGATAAATTATGTACACTTTGGGATGGTAATGCAATTTGTAAAATATTCTACATTTTATTTAATAAAAATTAATTATATACATTGTTTTTGTTGTTTATACACCTTGGACGGTGTATATTTACACCTTTGGACCCTGTAAATAAACACCCTTGGACCCTGTAAATAAACACCTTTGGAGGGTGTACCCATTCTAAGCCAAAGACGTTTAAGAACAATTATCAAGGTATTTGCATGATAAAATATATTTAAACTGCTCTCCATATACATGTAATGCATGGTTCAATTCTTGCTTTTACCAAGTAAACCCAGGGATTTTCAATGCCCCCCTCCTCCCGTAGAATTCACTTGAAGTGACTGGGGCAAGGTAGCTATAAGTATAAGTAGTTATATTAATTTAATTAAAGTCAATTAAAATTGACAAATTGAGTTTTTTGAATATAGACCATTGCAAATTTTTTTAAAATTTGTTTAAACCTTTATAGTGGCAATGTCCCTACTTTAGTATATTACTCCGTCTGGTGGCAGACAATTTTACTCAAGGGCAGAATGTAGACTTGCAACAAGTTGACCTCGAACGAAACGTCGGCTCACACTCGCTGCTTGCGTTTCGTTCGAGGTCGATTTGTGGCAAGTCTAGACAGAATGCTGCCACTCAATGAGTTAATATATTCTCAGAACAATTACCATCAAATTTAATCTATTTTGCTGGCAAGGGGGAGGGGGTCCTTGATTTGTTGAGTCTTATTTTTTTTTGGGGTGGGGGTGGGTGAGTGTTGTAAAAAACAGAATAGCAACTGGTTTCAGAATAGGAAGAATTGTTGTAATATAGGTAATATAATTCTAAGACAAATCATCCAAAGGAAGCAATCATTCTAGCTCTTGTAGTGTATGTTGCAACATGGATGGATTTACTTGGGGGGGGGGGGGGGCTGTGCACTCCCCTAGCCCTGGCCAGAGGAGGTGCAGGGGGTGCTATTTTTCATGATAAAGCAAAAAAATTATTACAGGCAAAATGAGATACAGTAATTTGAGTAATAACATGATGATAAGCGAGCTGTGAACAACAATTACAATTCAAATACAGTAGTAAAACAAGACTTTGCAGTAGTGAAGCAAGTTGATGGGCAGGAGGCACACACGACCGACACAACTCGGCACCAGAGCTGGCAGAGCACCCCCCACCCCACCAGATCATGCTGGATCCATCCCTGTGTTGCAAAATGTATTTTCTTCATAGTCAGGCATTCACATGAATGAAGATTAGAATTGCATCATGTTATATAGAGGGGTCCCATTATTAAATTAAGAGATTAAAAAGGGGTCCCATGACATTTTGACATAAGAATCTCCCACCCCACCCTAGGGTATAATGGTCACTTAAAGTACATGCCATCTTCTAACTGCATGCCCCTTTTGTGATGGAAAATCTATTTCCTACCTTTATCCCCTGGGACAAAAAATTCAAATCAACTCTCCACCCTGATAATGTGCAGATGGTAACAGCAAGAATTGAAGCAAGCAAGCTTTACTGGAGTACATACTATTATTAGGAAACATCAATTCGCACATGTTAATTTGCCAGTCATGATTTTAAATGTAATATTTCTTATCTCATATAGAATTCTTAAGGTCTTGTTTACATTTTACTGGAAGCAAACTAAGATGCATATCCAATATTTGGGTCATATCATTCATATGTCAGTTTTGCAACTTGCCAGCTTCAACAGCATTTAGCTGCAAGGAAAACGTAAACAAGGAAAGGGCACATAGCTCTTCATCTGTGTTTAAAATATCAATGAATAAATATTCCAACCATTGACACTTTATAATATAATGCACCTATCAATGTTAAGCCCCAGAGGGGGGGTCGGGCATAGGCGGGGAATTTGGTTTTTTGAGCAAATTTTCAATCAAATGCCCCACCGTCGGGCAATATTTATTGGTCAAATACCCCACCATTTTGCAATAAATACTATATTAATAAAAGTCATTCGGTTCAAAATGCCCCAACTTGGAGCCAAAATGCTAATCAAAATCCCCAGGGTGGGGTTGCAATTGATAATCAAATACCCCACATATGGGGGTTAACATTGATAGGTGCATAAGTGACATTCAACAATAGATCAATGACATATACAGTACATTTCTTTGAATCACTGTATAAAATATTCCTCATAAACTCGCTCCAATCGTCGCACAAGACGCGCAGCAGAGTCTTTGCAAAGGTAAAACCAAGTTAAAATCCTCAGTTCAAAACACTTTCCGTGTCCTCTTAAGCAAGCATGTCCAGCTGGAGAACATCCGTCGTAATACTATAATAATTTTGGCTGTTAATTTTGTTTAGCGAACGAACGATATTTACCAAACCCAGTTGGAAGAACAGCAACTACATAGTTCCCATGTAATAAAAGCTGAAGAATTTGATTTCGAGTACGTCGGTAGCAAAAAGAAGGGAAAATTTCAAAGACTAAACGCATTTTTAAGCCGCTCTAAGCACTTAAATTTTGTGGGCACTCTTACGTTGGCGGCCATCTTGGATTTTCTAATTCATTATTATTTTAATTTATCACACCCACTATATCTGGGTGTTGAAAGTCATGTGACTGGCCTGTGCCAGGGCCTTTTTCTGTCTTCCCAATGACAAAAAGGGAAAAGCCCTGGGAACGAGGTTGTATGCAGGTTTTATCGGAAAAAGGACACAGTTGGAAAAAGTTCACTTCAGTCAGATGTACTCTAAATTTGCGAAAACTTTCAGTAAGCCTATGTACTTTAACGTTCTCTGGTACATCTAGCACTGAAATTATTTAAAATGCTAACGTTTATAGAGTAGGAAAGTTCAGAGGCGCCGGAATATCGATAATTGCGGAGGCAGATATTCATATTTTTGTGTTCGCAGACTGTAAAAACAATCGATTTCAAAAGAAATTAATTGGGCAGAACACGAATATATGAATATCTGCTCCCCAATTATCGATATTCCGGCGCTTCTGGGAAAGCTGTCACTACTGAACCCCCCAAAAAAGGCCTTGCGCACAAAAATTATTCATCGGAAACAAAAATTAATCTGGATAAAATATGGATTATGGACTGTCTTGCACAAGCTATCAAAGTTTCAAGAAATTTGGTGCACGCGTAGGCCAATGCTACGCGCCAACGCAAGATCTTCGAAACCTGGATTTTCTCCCATTTCGTTAGCTCAAACACGATTTCTTTGCATGATTTCAAATTAATGTTGTGCATGCTTGGAGTTTGCATAAATTACAGTACGAAATTCGCAAACCAATTCCTAGGTTCGATTTCCAGCCTGCTTCGGGCAATAGGCAGAGCTCCCCGAATTCGGGGAGCTCCGCCTATTCCCGGAAGCCGGCTGGAAATCGAGCCTAACCAATTCCCAAAGGTCCTAGAGTTATTATTATTATTATTAGCATGACAAAATTACTGGATACTGATTGGTTGAGGTGAGTACAACTATTTCATTAATTGTACTGCAGTACAATTAATGATTTTCCCAAAACAAACAAAATGGCGGAAAGGTATTTTAAACACAAATGCGAAATGAAATTGCCGTGGAGGAACTAGATGAAAATACGAACAAAAGCACCAAATTTTGCTTGAACAAAAGAACTAAATAAAAATACAAACAAAAGCACCAAATTTTTGTTGAACGTCTGGCAGGACTGGGCTTTGGCGAGAGAACATGATGTTGACATTGAGAAGTACGTATCGAATTTTGTCATGCTAATAATAAACAAGTAATCATGCGATGTTGCTCGTACAATTATGGATTAATAGTACTCGTGAAGTTTGGAAATTTGCCAAATTGGACTCGCCTCGGCGGCTCGTACAATTTTGGCAAAATTTCCAAACATCACTCGCACTATTAATCCCCAATTGTACTCACCATTGCATGATTACCTATACTTATTATTATAATTATTATTATTATTATTATTATTATTATTATTACTATTATTATTATTATTATTATTATTATTATTATTATTATTATTATTATTATTATTATTATTATTATTATTATTATTATTATTAATTATTATTATTATTATTATTATTATTATTATTATTATTATTATTATTATTATTATTATTATTATTATTATTATTATTATTATTAATATTAATTATTATTTAACGCCAATCGTAAGCGTCAAAAGTACCGTGATCTGATCAATGAGCAGGAAGCAGATTATGATAAAGTCAAGTTCGTCAATTTATCCTTGAGTACCCTCGGAGTTTTTGGCCGATCTTCTGAAAATTTCGATGGCATGCTAAGTAGCCTTAAATGTGATGCCAAGTATAGTAAATACATAAAAAAGAAAATCGTGAACATATGCATACGAACATCATATTATGTATTTTGTAAACGAAACAAGGTGTGGGATAACCCAAAATTAATGTTAATATAATCCTTCTTAATTAAAATAATTATTGTACAATAAATATATAGTATCAATTCAAGTAGACATTGATAAACTACCTGTAAAGCGAGGTTTATCATTGTAGTTGTATATATCTTAATAATCAATAAATAAAGTTTCCATTATTATTATTATTATTCAAACTGTCTCACGCTCAGCTTTAAAGTCATCGATAAATGAAAACATACGTGAATTATGGTCAATAACAAGCACCAATAGGAACATTCAGTACGACATTTAATCAAACACAAAAGATGTATTGAAGGCATTTAGACAAAAAAAATGAACAGCGACTACAAAATAACATAATGTCGCAAGGTTCTTTTTTCTCAAACATAGTGAAAAACTCCACGTTGGCATTCAATTCCCCATGGTCATCGGTTCATTCAAAACTTCCTAAGAACATATTTAACTTCAGTCTTCGTTACATCAACAATTCTTTGCCTGCTAGGAAAAACCTAGTTAAATGGGGTCTGTCATCATCTGCTGACTGTTCGTTCTGCTTCTGCCCTGAATCGCTTTTGCACGTAATCTCTGGATGTAAGACATATCTAAACGAAGGGAGATACACATGGCGACATGATTCAGTTTTGAATCTCATTGGGTCCAGCCTCCTCGACGTCGGAAGGTCCAAAATGTATGCAGATCTGCCTGGATTTATTAGCCCATCTAGGTAGGTAGGTAATACTTTATTTAAAATTAACAGAAAGAAGAACACGCTAGCCCCATGAACTCTAGGCTTAGCCTGCTCACAGGCTCTATTATATAGAGCCTGCGACTTTTATTGATATTTTTTCAATACGCCCCCTTTGAGATAATTGAATATCCGGTAAATAGTAGCCAATCAAAGCAAGTTTTGTTAATTAGATTACCAGAGGTTATTAACAACAACAAACAGTTTCTCGCGCAATTTTACGCCTGTATCTTTCACTAGGATTCCAAGGTCTAAACTTTAATCTAAAATAATTCATGGTCGTTTTTTCCCTAAAGTGTTCTAATATTTAAAACATATTCCCGTTTGTATATTGCTGTCTTGTTCGTACATTGCCGTTTTAAATTATGTAACTATACTACAGAGACGTAAAATTTTACTCTCTATTAGTTAATGTATTTTATATATTTATATCCAAAATATAACTGTAAGATTTAAGGAAACGTATTTAGGTTTTGAACAAAGTAACAAACACTATTTATTAAAAGTGTCGAACAATAGCAGGCTAAAAAACAACATTAATCATTATTGCGTGAAGTCTGTCATTTGCTCAATAATACAATTAACTCAATAGACAATAGACAATTTGAAAACCCGTGGCCGTGGCATAGATTCTGCCGTGTTTAATAACTACATTTTTTTGTAAAAAGCTCTTGTTGTAATAATATATGTCACTAGTTGAGACTCCCAAAAATAAAGTCTCAAAGAGAGAGCGGACTTCGGTCAAAAACACGCAAACGACTATTGCAAAATTTCCAGGTGTAAATTCAAATTGGCCAGGTGTTCTAAGAACGACTTTCCTCGACGGCGTCTGTTTTAATAATTTGCCCCGAGGATTTGCCCATTGTCTTGACTTATTCAAGACCAGATTGTTTAGGCAGAAAGCCTTGGGTTGACAGGGAAGTATTTGGGAGAAATGTTCGGAGCCATTTGACAATCAACTGCTTTATACTAGCTGATTCACTGCCTGTGTCTCAACGAACGTCTCGCTGGGCTAACCTTAAGTTGTTCAACGTTTGAAACCGCAAGTGATG